TGGTGACTACTTTCTAATGTGAATTTTAAAAACAAGCATCCATACCAGTGTGGGAGGAAAGAATGGTAAAACAGGGGAAAGGAAGTCTGCTCTACTGGTAATAAAGCTCCAAGTTCATCCCATCATGGATTTCATAGTCCCCTAGAGACACATGGTCCTTAAAAATCGTGTACCACTTCATTAGGACAATCTTGTTCCAACGGGTGACAGTTTGGGCTGCAATCAGCTTCTTAAGGTCCCCAGTGGTATCATCGGTGGTGCATTTAAGTCGGGCCTTTCCAAGACAGTCGTTGCAAATAACCTTGATCATCCTGGCTGGAGCTCCAAACTCAAACTTCCAACCTGCAGACGCCACAACCTCCAGCCTTAAGTGCTCTGATGGTTGAGATTAAAAACCATGAGAGATTCTTTTGCAACCTCTATGCATTTGAAAACCACTGGAAGGTATGTCCAATCTCTACTTCAGCCTTTCAGAGCAGCACTTCATTTGCCTTTTTGACAAAGAAGGAATAGTTGCCCTTCAAGGCCTAGGGGGAACAGACCTGACCTGACCGGACCTAATCCCAAAGTTATACTATGAGCACTGGGGGCTGTTTGAGCCCTCAGGGATAAGATAACGACTGGACATACAGTTGTATCTAAACCCCACCACCTGCCTACCACCAAACATTCTGATTTGCCCACTCTTAGAGGTTGTTCAAAGGCTAGCTGACCACCATCAGGTCTAGTGTGACCAGCATTCCACAGGGCCCTGGAGAGGAGTGAAGGGTCACCAGAAACTGCAACCCTAGACAGCAGGCTTGAGTGCTGGGGCCCTTCTCACCCTGGCAGACTGTGGGGTTGAAGGCATGACTCAGGATGATGAGAGGGAAGCAAGTGCCACCTGTGAGACACCCCTTCTTCTTGCACCAGGCCTAGATCCACCTGGGGATAGCTCCCACCTGGAGGTTTGCTATTTAAGACATGTAGAAGAAGCATGTGTACTTGTGAGGACTTGTGTCTAGACCTAGGTTCATGTCAGGACAGCTACTACCCAGAGACTTGCTGGGCAAAATACGCAGAGTTGTACATCCTTTTCCCAACTCAAGTGTGCTACACCCTGGACAAGAAGGACAAGGCAAAAGTGTTTTCTTCTTCTTCTGCATAAATGGGTGTGTATACTCTTTGACACCTCAGCATTACCCTGTTGGGGCTGATGATAAAGGGGAATACTCCGAACATGTATGGAAAAATCATACTGCCCAGGAACACTGATCTGTTGAAGACACAGGAAACAGAAGGAATTTACTACACCCCACCCCTTGTCTCCCCAACCCACATACACTTTTCTAACCTATATAGCATTGATGGCAGACCTCTTTCAGAGTGCTGGCAACCTTGCAGTAAGCCCTGTAGGTGATAAAGTGGCAGGAGCCCAAATGCCCACAGGCACTGGGCAAGGCTCCTTTGTGGGTGCTTCTCCTAATTCTGAGATGAGGTGGCTGCTATCTGGGTTTCCTGTGCCCTATAGTCAGCCATTCTGGCCTTTTCTAGGCCTGATGACTGTCTCTGGATGTTCCAAAGCTCAAATTCAACTCAGGACACACTTTCCACATATGTCCTGGCAGTATGGGTCTGCTGGAGTTCCCTTCCTTAGTCCTGCCCAAGAGACTCTGACTTTCCTACAATTCCACTTCTCCACGGGAAAGTATGATATGGAATGGGTATTTCTGGAATGGCTAAAACTTTGCTGTAGATGAAAGTATTGTACCAGTAATGTTAAATTGCCCTTTGTTACTACCCCTCCTGGTTACCTTTTTCTCACCCATTTGCTACTGAGAAGAATTCCAACCCATATTAAGATGGCTAAAACCAAGTGACTTCCAGCCTTAAAGTCTGGCTCTGTAGCATGCAGAACCATTCTAGGTAGGGTGGTCTTGGTTTCCTCTTGGACTAAAGGAAATGATTCCCTATCAAATCACCCTAAGAGGCTCAGTGCATGTGGTTCAAGCGGCTATGGCCCCAGCCACATAAACCTGAGCTGGCAGGTTCGAATCCAGCCCGGCCCTCCAAACAACAATGACGGCTGCAACCAAAAAATAGCCGGGCATTGTGGCAGGCACCTGTAGTCCCAGCTACTTGGGATGCTGAGGCAAGAGAATCACTTGAGCCCAGGAGTTGGAAGTTGCTGTGAGCTGTGATGCCACAGCACTCTACTCAGGGGGGACAGCTTGAGGCTCTGTTTCAAAAAAAAAAATCACCCTAAGAATGGACCCAAACATATCCATTTGAGAGTATATTGTTAGCACTGGATCTGACTGAGAACACTGGAAATATCTTGAGTCTGGGCATAGAGTTGAAACCAAACTCACTAACTGGGAATATTCTGACTTGAGCAATCTCACTGAAATTTAGCTTGGCCTTGAAGTCTCAGGCAGCCAGACACAAAGGGTGGTGGCCCAAATGTACTGGGGGCCTGAGGAACTACCACTGTAAGAAAAAGGTGCCTGAGGATGGGGCTCTTTTAAAATGGCTATCCCCTGGTCTTCAAATAATGGTCCTATCTTTTAGGTCAGCCAAATGTAAGAACCTTGAAATAGCTAGCACATGAGAATTCTTTCTAAACCCCTGTACTAAGAAATTTACCGAAGTGTAGTATTCTGGCAGCTTACAGAAGTGTCCTTAAGATAACCCAGGCCCCCTTATACTACATACCAGGGAATGCTTACAGATGACGAAAAATTTACTGTTTTTTTCTCTAGCCAACACATACCTGATGATAGGCCCCTAAACTTCCTTTTATAGAGTACTTCTTAAAAGGAGCTTACAATTACAAATACGTATTATGTCTTGTAACTCAGAGGAATCTCTCTCTAGTAGCCAAAGACTGCTTCCTTTTTTCCCCAGTAAGACTAAATTTACTTTAATTTAAATTCACTTTAAGTTAATATAACTTAGTAAAAGTTTTGATTGTAAATATCTAACAACATAAAAAGTATAAAACAGATTTGTAAATTTCTGATATATTAAATCAAAGTATGTGACTACAGTATAGTACATCCTACAGAAAAGAGAGCTAGAAGGGGAAAAAGTAGACTCATTGAGATCTAGTAATAATAAATAAATACAGAAGTAGAGATTACCCACATGATAGACCAATCCTACAGCCAAAATACACAGAAAAAAACATTTCGAAATAACTCAGGAGACTGATGATGGTGTACTCTTAAAATTCACCTCAAAGGCTATGGAGAGCCATCTCGACTCACTGTGCAATCCGTGCATATGGTGGCTTGCAGCATGTAGGTTTTGTTTTTCAAAAGGAAGAAAAACAAAATGCTAAATTTAGATTAAGAGCTATAAAACCATAGGGTGCCTATAAAACAGCAACCCACTCCTTACTATTAGTATCTAGTTTTAAAGATCCAGTTGGAAAAATAGGCAGGGATCTAATCAAGATGGTGGCTTAGTAGCAGCTTCTGTGTAAATGGGTGCAGTGAGAGTGGGGAGAGAAGACTCTAGGCATCTCAGGCCAGTGGGTTTGCCCAGAGGCTGTCCTCTGGTGACCCAGGAAGTCAGTGAGAGACTTCTGAACCCCACAAGGAGGATGGAAGTGGTGGAAAACTGGCAAGTAGTGGGTGCCCATTTGTTCATCTGGAGGCAGCCTGCAGCTGTACCTATAGCAACAGCAAGACTGCAAGTGGGAAGAGCCTTGCCTGGGGGCTGTTTTGGTTTTTCTGGACTTGGACACTCCATTGAACTGCCTTGGGAGACCTTGGACCAGTGTGCGGATGACTTTGGGCACTGTCTGGGGCCCGGGACTGGGCTGCTGAGCTGGTAAGGAGCTAATGCTATTCAGCTGTGGGCTGCCCGCACAGCAATTGTGGGGGAACTGCCCCTGCGTGTTGCAGCGCGGGGATTGGCCAGGAGACCTTGGGCCAGTAATCTAATGACTGAGCTGCCCAAAGGTGGGGGCTGAGATGCTGGGGAAGTGTGGAGATCCAAGTGTTTGGCAGATTAACAGCCTTGGCCCTCAGGGGCATTGAGGGAAACTGGATTTGGCATACTGGATAAGAAGGCAGCCACGCCAGGAGAGATCCCACGGATAAGTGCTTTCCTCCCAAAGTTTCTGCTTGGCCAACATTCAAGGTATGGAGTGCCTTTTAAGTGGGCTGAGGAGACATTTGGGCTCCTAAGCCTGCAGAGTCTGTGAAATCAGCTGAGGCCTCCAGTCTCCATCTTGTACAGCTGTATCAACTTTGGGATTAACTTCTCATCCCTCAGATCACCTGTTGCCCAGACAATATTTATCAAGATACATATACTGTTTGGTCTTTTGGTTTGGGGGGTTTTGTTTTTTCATTTTTTTAAAATTTCAACATTTTTTTGACATTTTTCTTTTTTTCATTATTCTAGTTTAAATATAATCTTCCATTTTTGCCTTCTTTAATAATTAGAATTTCATTTTTGCCACTGTTTCTGCCCCTATTATTTGTTTTTTACCCCCAATTTTATCCTATTAGGGTTTTTTGCTTGTTTGTTATGGTTTGATTTATAGTATTTTTGTCTTTCCTCTCTACCTGGTGGAGGTGGGGTACTGTGTCTGAGCCGGCTGGCAAAGAGCTGTTGCCTTCAAGGGAATAACCCAATCTGGAACCCCCAGAGGTTGGGGGTCTTTAAGGGTGAGTCATAGTACCCTATATACACCTATATTACTCCTGTTTCTTTCTTTTGGTGCCTTTTCTTTTTGTCAATACTTCCTTTTACTCACCCCCTCTTCTCTCTCTCTCTCTTTTAAAAAATATTTTTTCCTTTTTGCTCCTCAATCTTCTCATCCTTCTGGTCTTGCACCAAAAGGACTCATTAAAACTTTAGAACAGTGGCATAGTAACTGAGAGCAAGAAGAAGTGAAAGGAAAATTAGGGTAAGGAAACAGATACAAGAAAGCACTCATGAAGAAAAATCAGCAGAAAAATCCTGGCAACATGAAATGCCAGTCCAGAGTAACCCCTTCTAGGGATCACAAGGTAGCTACAGCAGAGGATTCCTCCTATAAAGAAATGTTAGAAATGACAGAAGGGGAATTTAAAATACATATGATGAAAATAATGAAGGAAATTGCTGAGAAAGTGGATAATAACCAAAAGGAAATTCAAAAACAGAATCAAATAAGAGATGAACAATATGAAGAATACAGAAAGGATATAGGAGAGCTGAAGGAACTGAAGCAGTCAATTATGGAACTCAAAGATGCAACAGACAGTATTAACAACAGATTAGACCATGCTGAAGTAAAAATCTCAGAGGCAGAGGATAAAGCTCTTGAGATAA